TGGCAAGCATTGGAATCGGCTTTAAAATCTGGTGAGGATGAGATGCCTCGCTTCCTTATCTTCTTCCAGGCAGGCTGTGTTTGGCGGCCAGAACGGGTAAGGGACTGGTATACGCCGGCAAGAAACCAGGACCCATTTGACCAAACCCATTTGATCCGATCAGAGTTTTTTCAGGTTCTTTTACTGTGTCTTAGCTCCATGGGTTCAAATTCTGTGTTCAGGGAAAGATTTAGAGAGGGCAGTGAGCTGCTATTATCAGTTTCTCTGCCAGAGGTGAAGTACGTAACACTTGTTCTTCTGGCACCGGCGGGGTATCAGTGTCCTGAAATTAAATAAAAAAATTCATAAGTACACCAAATCTTCGTTCTATGAATCGACATATCTAATAACTGGTAACACGGCAAACATAAAGCTAAATGTCAAATTGCAACCAGACAACATCTATATTCAAAGCAAGTGCAATATGAAAAAATCAATATAAAGAAGCGAGACTAACCATATTATCAGCAACCTGTCAAAAAGGCTGGTACGCTCTTTCTTTGGGTGGCATTAGTCTGCCGGATGAAATACTTCTGTGCATGACTTGCTACCTGAGTTGGAGTCCTTGACACAACAAAATTCGTGATATACCACGCCAGTCACCCTTCCCTAATTTCTGAAGGCCAACTAGAAACAACGATGCTCCTCTTCCGTCATGGAGTACCTACACGTCAAATCCAGTTCAGATAAGGAATAATCTCTAATTGCTACTAATACAGAATATTATTCCGCCTTCAAAAAAAAGCTAAATTTGCAAGAGAATTAAGCTGCAAGTAATACAACACCACAGGCGTCTTGCCTACACCATGGATTTTATTCTACATAACAATCAAAAGAAGATAAAAAAAAACAAAGGAATGCAATGAAAAACCGAGAGAATAAAAAAAGAAAGGCACATTCTCATTTCTTTGTCAAAAACCGTAAGACAAGATACTCTATCCTCTGTATAGCAACCAAATGTATAAGGTACAAAAAGTCTACCATGGCTTTGAAGATAAAAGGACATGGAACGATACAGTGAGCTAAACTGAATAAACTAAGTGTTGTTGTTGCTTAGTCAAAAGTAGATTCCTAGATCTGAAAGCAAATATCGGGTGAAAACACAAGCAGAACTTTGAAAGGTAACCATACTGCAATCTTGTTGCGCAGAGAGAAGAAGAAAGACAAAAGCTCTCGAATGTGCTAATCAAATGCATGAAAAGCAAGAGAATTTGACAAAACCAGCTTAATATACAGAGTGCAGATTCAACAGTGCAAAGAAGCAATTCGAACTTCAAGCTCGGCACATTACCAGTCCATCTTAGAATCCATTAAACCGGAAAGTATTACAAATGACTCAGAGAGGTTCATCAAAAACCAAACAAGGTACTTATCAGAGACCTCGGTCCTTCAAAGCAATTAATATCACACAATCTTGCTCATATTCCTGAATACCACACGCAAGCAACTAGTCAAGTCAAATTGAAAACTACAACCCCAGAATATAATAACAAGACAGTATGAGTTGACTTTGGTCAAGAAAGAAGGGTGGACTCAAACAATGGTTGAAGTTCATGCATCGTTCTCGACATTAACAGAAAATCCATCAAAGCTAACTCAAAACAACTCTCTAGCAAACAAAACCAAGCAACAATGATCATCATAAAAATGGAAAATTGAGCTAAAAACTCAACAATCCCCCCAGTCATCCATGAATACAATAAGGTAGCATATCAGATAAATTCCTAGTCCTGGTCATGAGGACCTTCAAAGTGTAGCAAACAGAACTTTCTAGCCGGACTTCACATTTCTTCAAGAGTAAGAAGACATTAGGAGGCTGGGAGGGCGGTTTTGGGGGTGGTTTCGAGCGGGGATTGTTCGGAAATATTAGTGTTTGCCATTTTTGAGAGAGCGACAAAAAGAAAACTAGAGAGTAAGAGACTGAAGGTGACGGTGGGAGAGGAGTTTTATCAGTTTATGAAGAGGAATTTGCAGCTACGCGTGGAATGGGAGTATGAATATAGATGGCAATCAATCTCGACGTTGCATGGCAGGGAGATAGACTAACTGCGCGGGTGAGGGACTGGGGTGAAGGTGCAATGGGATTGTGAGATTTGGCGGGATTACTGTAGGCAGTAGTGGATTCTCCTACGTGGCGAGTTATCATTTGTTAAAAAGTGAAATTTCAGTGGGGCTTGTTGGGTTGATTAGGGTGATCAATTCTGTGTTTACAACTCAACATTGGCTTTTAAGGATTGAATGCCACCTTTGGAAACTTCTATTTTTGAGGGCCAAGTCAGAAAAACATTAAAATAAATTCAATGAATTTTACAATTTAAAATTGAATATAAATGGGTCTTAAAAAGTAATTAGTTGAATCAAAACTTAAATTATTAAGGATTTAAGTTAATTTTTCCTACATTTAAAATATTTAACATTCTTACTATATAATGATATAATAACAAATTGACATAAATTTTTTTTTTTTTCATGACTAGGGTGTCCGGACCAGTTTACATACACCTTAACTAGTCCCTCATGACCCTGAAATTATCAGTCGGATAAAAACTCTAGTGACCACCCTTATTAACAATTGAGGAGGGACTCGAACTTAAAATCTTGTAAGTAATATACTCAAAAGTCTCTATTGAATCATTCGACCATCTAAGGATTTGTTAATTGTTGTTAATAATTAAAAAAAAAATCAAATTATTATATTTACACATGATATTATAAGTCCATTGTCGTACTCATAATAATATATTTGTAATATTTAAAAAAATTATATTAAAAAAAAAAAAATCTTAGATGCTACTTTAATTGTGATATTTTTGCCTATATTGGCAATTAATTAGAGGATTAATTAAGAGCTTTCTGTCACTTGCCACAGAAGGAATAATTTTTTTTTTTTTTTTTTTGTAATTAATGTTATTGATTAATAAAATAGTTGGAGAGGTTAATTATAGTGAGGTCATTTAATCCTTATATTAATTAACATTTGGCAAAAGGAATGGGAGAAGGAATTTAGATTCTGCTATACACTTGTTCTTTGTTTATTTAACCTTAAACACAAATGGCTTTCATGCAAATACCCTCTTTAATTACTCAAAATAAATCAGATTTTTTTTTTTTTCAAAATGAAGATGCAAATTACTCTGAAAGGGAGGATATCCCTTTTGTTATTTATTATATGTTTTGTTCATTTTCTAAAAGTGCTTTTTGTTTTTTTAAATGAATCAAAGTACTTCCAAAAAGCACCGATCCATAAATTAAGGTAAACTGGTTTGGCCTTAAATTGGCAAAATAGAAACAAGCCTTCACTCTCAAGAAAATATATAAGTTTTATATAATTAATAATTTACAATAAAAATGATAATATCGGTTCACATATTAATAATAAAAGAAAAAATAATAATTGTATGTAAAAAGATCGAACAGTTGCCAAATTGATGAAGAGGGTCGAAAAAGTTAAACTTTGACAATCGACGAAGAGTACTCATCGAGAATTATTCTTACGTGGATTCGATGCACATCTATATATCTACAATCACTCAACGAGAATGTATCACATTATTGCATATGTATAACATGTATGTCGTTTTAAACGTTTGTATATTCATTGGATGTTTGAAAAAGAATGTTCGTTCTTCAACGCTTAAGTCAACACTAAAGAATAACTAAGTATAATGATGATCACGAACACTATCTTTTTGTGCCATGTGTTGCATCCCAAAAATCTCCGTAGCAACAATGTATAATTAATATCTCACGGCACTAGCTATAACATTGACAATGTAATTGGCTTGACATAATTTTATAACGGTTGCCTTCCGTATTACTTATTGGGGGAAAAAATGACATGTCGTTCTCAACTATCAACATCGGATGTCAAGTCATTCATAAATTTTGATATGAACCTACAAGACAATCGGTCTACTTGCTCATAATTGTTCTTAAGGGTGTACACCAATTTCGGATAGAACCGGAAATGAGTACCTAGGGTTTCATTACTCAAAAATTGGAACTGGTACTATTTAGTTCCGGCTCTAGTTTCACCATTGTAGAAACTGGAATCGAAACCAAGATCCGAGTACTCGATAGGAATCAGGTATATTTATAATTTTTGTAAACAGTTAAGGTGTATTTGTCATTTTTGTGAATAGTAAGGGGTATTCAGAATTCTTTCAAGTACCCGAAACTGGAACCTAAAACTCAAGTTCTAGTTCCAGGCATTTAGGAACCGAGACCGGCCAATTATGATTCCAGTTCTTGTTATATGGGATTTTCGCAGGTACTTGAACCCACCCACCACTAGTTGATCTTAACTTTTTAATATGAACCACTAAACACTATTTATAAATTGGTTTAAAAATATAAGTGAAATAATATACTAACTAAAATTGAAGTTCGTATGTTATATAATGAGACTTTGATACAGGACTTGAATTAATTTATCATATACAAATAATATATAACAGAGTTTTCTTAACATATTTACATTTAAACTATAATAGAGTTTTCTTAACATAAGCTTTTACATTTAACATCAAGAAGTTAAAGTAATTCTGATAGTTCTTCTATTAATTGCCTTAATTTCAACAATAATATACAATTTAATATATATTTCCACGCCATATACAAAGAATTACCGAAAAATATTTTAAAAGATGAACAACTACCGAAGAATATTTTACAAAAGAATAGACCTACCAGAGTTCTGCAGCATTTTTCAAAAGCTAGCTCGAACACTTGAAGGATTAGTTAAGGTGCATATAAGCTAGTCCGGACACCCCGGTTATTTGAGAAAAAAAAAAAAAAAAACACTTTTCAAAAGCAAAACCAACAAGGATCATTGAGCTTGAGCACATATGAAGAGAAAGCATTTGTTGCCAAACCAATTGAATTATTTGAACAACTAGCTGTTTTTACAGTTTGAAAGAATTAAAATAATATCCAAACCAATTAATGTTTTAACCTATAAATTAAGGAACAGCAAAACTTCATACTATCAAAGAGGAAAAAAAAAAACACAAGATGTGTCTTGGAGAACATATAATTGTACAAAAAGGGAAGATTTACCCAGAAGGGTAACAAAATTCCATCATTCCCACCAATTCAAACTGCTTGTATGGAGCTAGTCTTTCCCTTGCTTAATTCCTAACTTCTCACCGGGGCATTCGTGTGGAACGCTGACTGCCTCGATGGCTCTCCCAGCAGTTTTAAGGACAGCGGCGAAGGCTCTCTCAAGCCTCTCCCCGTCTCTCCTAAACAGAGCTGAGACATGCCAACTAGTTCATCCACGTTGACAGGTTCCTTGGCAAGCATTGGAATCGGCTTTAAAATCTGGTGAGGATGAGATGCCTCTGCTTCCTTATCTTCTTCCAGGCAGGCTGTGTTTGGCGGCCAGAACGGGTAAGGGACTGGTATATACGCCGGCAAGAAACCAGGACCCATTTGACCAAACCCATTTGATCCGATCAGAGTTTCTTCAGGTTCTTTTACTGTGTCTTTAGCTTCCATGGGTTCAAATTCTGTGTTCAGGGAAAGATTTAGAGAGGGCAGTGAGCTGCTATTATCAGTTTCCCTTGCCAGAGGTGAAGTACGTAACACTTGTTCTTCTGGCACCGGCGGGGTATCAGTGTCCTGAAAAAAATAAAAAAATTCATTAAGTATCACCAAATCTTCCTTCCATGAATCGACATATCTAATAACTGGTAACACGGCAAACATAAAGCTAAATGTCAAATTGCAACCAGACAACATCTATATTCAAGCAAGTGCAATATGAAAAAATCAATATAAAGAAGCGAGACTAACCATATCATCAGCAACCATGTCAAAAAGGCTGGTACGCCTCTTTCTTCGGGTGGCATTAGTCTGCCGGATGAAATACTTCTGTGCATGACTTGCTACCTGAGTTGGAGTCCTTGACACAACAAAATTTCGTGATATACCACGCCAGTCACCCTTCCCTAATTTCTGAAGGCCAACTAAAAACAAACGATGCTCCTCTTCCGTCCATGGAGTACCTACACGTCAAATCCAGTTCAGATAAGGAATAATCTCTAATTGCTACTAATACAGAATATTATTCCGCCTTCAAAACAAGCTAAATTTGCAAGAGAATTAAGCTGCAAGTAATACAACACCACAGGCGTCTTGCCTTACACCCTGGATTTTATTCTACATAACAATCAAAAGAAGATTGAAAAAAACAAAGGAATGCATAGGAAAAACCGAGAGAATAAAAAAAGAAGGGCACATTTCTTTGTCAAAATCCGTAAGACAAGATACTCTTATCCTCTGAATATAGCAACCAAATGTATAAGGTACAAAAAGTCTACCATGGCTTTGAAGATAAAAGGACATGGTAACGATACAGTGAGCTAAACTGAATAAACTAAGTGTTGTTTGTTGCTTAGTCAAAAGTAGATTCCTAGATCTGAAAGCAAATATCAGGTGAAAACACAAGCAGAACTTTGAAAGGTAACCATACTGCAATCTTGTTGCGCAGAAAGAACGAAAAAGCTCTCGAATGTGCTAATCAAATGCATGAAAAGCAAAGAGAAATTTGACAAAACCAGCTTAATATACAGAGTGCAATATCATCAACATGTGCAAAGAAGCAATTCGAACTTCTAAGCTCAGGCACATTACAAGTCCATCTTAGAATCCATTAAACCGGAAACGTATTTACAAATGACTCAGAGAGGTTCATCAAAAACCAAACAAGGTACTTATCAGAGACCTCGGTCCTTCAAAGCAATTTAATATCACCACAATCTTGCTCATATTCCTGAATACCAACGCAAGCAACTAGTCAAGTCAAATTGAAAAACTACAACCCCAGAATATAATAACAAGACAGTATGAGTTGACTTTGGTCAAGAAAGAAGGGTGGACTCAAACAATGGTTGAAGTTCATGCATCGTTCTCGACATTAACAGAAAATCCATCAAAGCTAACTCAAAACAACTCTCTAGCAAACAAAACCAAGCAACAATTGATCATCATAAAAATGGAAAATTGAGCTAAAACTCAACAATCCCCCCAGTCATCCATGAATTACAATAAGGTAGCATATCAGATAAATTCATAGTCCTGGTCATGAGGACCTTCAAAGTGTAGCAAACAAGAACTTTTCTACCGCTGACTTCACATTTCTTCAAGAGTAAGAAGACATTAGAATTCATTCAAAAGCTCCAAATATGAAATTTATTTTCTTTGTTGACCTTAAATTTTGTAACCATTTTGTTGGTAATTGATATTAATTGCTATAAACTTGCTATCAAGTTGCTAGATTCCTGGGTTATTAAAAAAAGAAAAAATTAAGATAATTAAAAGAACAAAATAGTTCATTAATTATGTAACAAAATAAAATACTACCATAAAATATCAAATAAAAAATTTATTTCATCAATCATTAAAAAAAAAAAAACCATAAAATATTGTGTGAAATAAATTGATTTCATTATAATATTTATCAATATAAAAAAAATAAAAATAAAAACATATCATCAAATTTAAAATTAACCCAAAAAAAAAAAATCCTTAAACGCCTCAAAATTCTTAAAATAGCAAAAAATAAACCCATTAATTACAGAAATGCCATTGCTTTAATATAAAACGCATCTAACCTTTCTTTCTCTCTCCACGCCGATTGGTGGAACAAGACGCGTGGGTCGGGTCATCGGACAAGTAACCGTCGGTTATATGCGTCGGGTCACGCACGTGATCCGATAACGGCGAGTCCGGATTCGGTGAAGCGGCAGCGGAAGACGAGCTATGGTAATGCAAGGCCGATAAGTTCCCCATACTCGCGCTCTTCTTTATGATCGACCCGTCCGTCAACCTCACACCGAACAACTTCACACCGCCGCAGCTCATCGACGCGACGCCGCATCCTCCTCCCCCGCCGCGCGTGGGACACGTCCGTGAGTTGTGTCCGTTGTTGCTGCAATGCGAGCACCGCCGCGTCATCTTCAACTCATGCACTGAGTCACCCCACCGCCAAGTCGAATAAAAATCTCGAAAGATTAATTAATTAATCAATCAATCTTAAAATTAATTAATTAATAATCAGTTGAGTAAACGAACGGGTTGCAGAGAGAGAAGGGGGGCTTGCATGGCGAAGGAATGAGAGGGCGTCAGAGAGATGAGTAGAGAAATTTATGGGAGAGTGAAGGGTAAAATAGGAATATCAAAGTTGGGAAGGGAAGAGGAAATAGAGATTTGGGGTGGAACGCTGGTTAGGTGGAGTGAAATGACTGATTTGTCCTTTTTAAAGAAGATAACGTCCATGACCTGACTTGGTTGTTGTTGTTGATTTTGTTTTTATTAATTTCGTTTTTTTTTAAAGCATGATGTTTAAATTATTTATTTAATAAAATATAAATTACACCATATATTGTAAAATGTGATTTGGGTTTTAAGTAATTAAAGCAATTGTTTGACATGCCTTTAAATATTATTGTATATTTTATATAATTCCCTACCTAACATACATATATAAATGTTTTTTTTAATTATCTAGAAAAAAATAAATGATAATTAGCATATTATTTATATTTAGAAACATTGTGCCTTCATTATGATTTTTCTTTTTTGGTATATAATATTGGATAAATATCTATTTCTTTGTGTCTTATTTCAAATATCATAAACCAATATTAATTGTTAAAAAAAAAAATCAATCAACCTTTAAATACAATAAGAGATCTTATTACTTGCATTTTTTTAATCTTTATAATTTTATTTTAAATCGACTAAATAGAAATAAAGAGTAATATAAATTATTATAAATACAAGAGTGTATTTTACATTATCTTATATTTATTAAAAAAATATTATTATTTTAAAATTATTATAATTAAACTTTGCTTATGTATATTATTATTTTAAAAGTGATAAATAATCATTTCCAGTACTAGAAAATAATTTTGAGTCAATTTGGTGACATTTTTATCTGGCTTTATTTATGGAAATGAGTGGTGAGGATAATATTTCGGACAAAAAGATTATCCAAATCTAGCGAAATGTATGGGGATGTAAAGACTTCAGTTGTTGTCAGAACTCAGAAACATGTTTTCTTCTCTGACCAAAATGCCCTTTTTGTTACGTGTAGAAACCGGCTTGTGTTTTTCATACATCATCTTTACGAGCTTGGTTAAACGCGTAAAATTCCAATTTCTTTTTCTCATGAAAATTTTTAAAAGAGATTTTAAAATCACTTTTTTTTTTTTTTTTTTACGGTAATATCTGGATCAATTTATATACAGCTCAATTAATTTTTTAAAACTCTAGAATTATCGATTAGGTAAAAACTCTAATAATTACTTTTGTTAACAATAAAAAAAAGACTCACATTTAGAACCTCTTAAATAATACATTTAAAAGTTTTTATTGAACTATTTAACCACCTAATTAAAATCACTAATTAGTTGAATTGTTTAATTAATATCGAATAATTATTGAAATTTTATGTCCTTCTTGATATATGCACCTTTAAGGAATAAAATAATTAAGATTAAGTCGAAATTTTCTTCTTATAAAAAATGAAATAAAATAAATAAAAAGTTATTGAACTAGACATTTTTCTTTGAAAAATGCTAGGGGATGTTTTAACGACGGACGGGAGGCCACGTGGAGCTGAGGTGGCCCACGTCTTTATGTGGGGTTTAAGCCTTAAGGAAAGGATTTTGTTGAAGGGATGACCGCACACGTGGCATTATTTTAATTGGGCTTTCCTTCTTTTTTTTTTTTTTTTAATCCGCCTATTCCACGCGGATTAATTTTAATTATTGTGTTCCTCTCAAAATCTTTTGCTTCAAATGCTTTAAAAACTTCATTATTGATTAGTTGTCATGTCACACAAATTAATTAAATTCTATTTAACAAAATATTTTATTTTCATAATTAAATTCACTTGTTGAAATTTATCCTATAATATTATTAGATCCACTCAAGCTCTTGATCCCAAATATCATAACAATTAACAAGTGCAAGGGTTGAAATTAGAAAAAAAATAATAATTAATATTTATAGTTAGTCCAAATATTTTTTAAAAATAAATGCATAATTTATTTTATATTTAAATACACATAGTGGATATGGATATGGATAACTTATATTTATCAAAGCATAAATATCATCCTTAATATTTCATGGCTCTAAACATTAGACATACTTCAATGTAGGTTTAAATATCTTAATTACCTAAAAAAAAAATATCATTGTTAAAATAATTTTAATAAATGGTTGTTTATCTTATCTTTTTAAAAGATAACAATCACTTATTCTAAATTATCCTTGTATAATGATAATTATAAAGTTAAAAAGGGCTTTTAATTTTATTTTATTTTATTTTATTTTATTACCTCTTTGGTCAAGTGGGTTTCAAGATAAGATAAGAGGTAACGTTCAAGGATTTATTCTTGATTAAAGAATTTAATTAGCAAAAAAAATATTATTATATGTTATTATCATCTACTTTGTTTTTGTATTAAAAATTGATTAGGATCAAGTTTGACAATATAATAATACGATTATAAATCTTTTAGCTTCCATTAACAACATTATATTATCTTATAATCTTAACTTATACCTAATCTGATTAAATATCAATCTTAATTTAAGAAGAGCTTATGCTAACTAATTAAGTAAACTATCTTACGTGTATTTGAAGTCGATAAATATTATTTTTTAACTTATTTAAAGTGTTGACATATCAAAAAATTATTTATATTTATTTTATAATTTTGACTTAAATCTTTCTTACAATAAGATCTACATTACTAATTTAAAACTATAAAAATCTTCACAATTTTTATTACTAAATAACTAGTAATTTTTATTTATTTATTTTTAAATAATCTCACGAAATAAATTAGATTATCATATAAATCTGAATAAATTGAGTTAAATATAATTAAATTATTCCCAAAATGGGACATTATAAAAATAATATTCTAGATTTGTAGTCAAATGATTTATGGACCCAATTCTATGTTTGATAGAATATATATTTTTTTTAATATTTAATTAAAATACTATAATATCGTTAAGATGTCTATCTCTATTCATAAAGTAGCTCATCTTAAGACAAAGACTAAAAGTTGACGTTGTACCGACACGTGGAGGCATCAGATTGGCTTTTTTGCGCATGCAACGTGTCGGCACATGCTTTGTGGAAAGACTGGATAAAGCAAATCCAACTCCAAGTCAAGTCAAGGCTCTACAAACTTTTACAACGCATTTTTTTAGTCATTAAATTTACTTTTTTATTTATAAATACTGAATATTACTTCTTATTTAAGTCATTTTCAAAAACATATTAAATTTTAAATTAAAATTCTTAATGTATGATTAATAGTTATGAAAGAACTAAAAAGCGTTCGGAATAAAAAAAAAATCAACCATATACAAATACTGAATTAATAAAGGAAAAAAATATGTGCGATTTATCTTGATTTACTCAAATCTACCAATCTGGGTTGTGTCTAATAGAGTTAATATTGTTTCAATATTAGCTCATCTCTCTCGTTACAATAAATATATTTATTTTGATTTTCTATATCACTCATATAAGAAAATTATGTATTTAGATAACTGCTTACGGTCTCGGGGTGCTAACCCCTAAGACCCCCCGCCTGCTTACAGGGGAGCAAGACTCCATGTGCATTGCCCCTTATGAGCGAACCCATTATTATTGAAGTGGTCACCAATTCCAACACATGATTTGTCTCGTATTTCACTCGATTAATGACATATAATACTATCTATAACTCATCGTGTTTGTTATGATTTTTCATATCACTCATACAAAAAAATAATGTGTTTATATAACCGCTTATGGTCCTGGGGTGTTGCCCCTTGAGACCCACCGCTCACTCACCGGGAAGCAAGACCCCATGTGTGTCGCCCCTTATAAGCAAACCCATTTATTATCGAAGTGGTCGCCAATTCCAACATATGATTTGTCTCGTATTTCACTCAATTAATGACATATAATATTATCTATAACTCATCGTTTTTTTTTTTTAAATAATCAGGGGTTTTTGGGTTAATTTATGTGAATCTCAACTAATCTCCCGGAGTCTTGAAACTACTGGTCAAGTAAGAGCCTCAGTGATTACTCTTATTAGTATTTAGAGGAATTAGAACTCCAAAGCTCATGGAATCTCCTAAATTCTTTTACAATCAGGTTACCGGATGGTGGTTTATAACTCATCGTATTTATATTACCATAGATTGAAAATTTGGTTCCCTTTAAACTTATTATGTGTATGTTTATTTTAAAGTAATAAAAAATAAAATATCTTTTCATTTGATGGACGGTTATAAAACAAGGATAACATAGATTGAATGAGCCTTTCCCCCTTTTATACTTTCAATGAAGAAAAGAATATAAAGAATGTTATCTTAAGAGAATGAACTTCCAGGAATCTCTGAGCAAAGACTTTATCATTATTTTAATATTTTAATATATATTTTTTTTTAATCTTTGAATGTGAACACAATTGTTGGATTATCACCTTTTTCCATGTGATATCTTTACTTTAAAAAATTAATAATATTAATTAATTAAGATATTTTGTCATATACTTTCTTTAATTAAGTCCAAGTTGAAATAAAATATAAGAAAAAAAATATTTAGACTTGGTTAAGTACAATTAATTAGATTTGATGTGGAAATTAATTAGAGAGTAATTAATAACCTAAAATTATAAGTAAAACTACAAATAATTCAATAAAAAGCATGTTTTCTCCTATAATATTGTTGTGATTTGGGAGTCTCGAGTGTTTGACCAAATCTCAACAACTTATTCTCGTTTAAGTCTGGCCCTATCGAAAACATGAAGCCGCCTTAGATTCCAAGTCAATAAATTATACTATTGCCTCTTGTGCTTACCATTTGTAGAATTTGAAGTGGGTTTGAGTGCTCGTCAAATAAGATCTTATTAAATTGAAGAATTATCTTTTTTATAAATCAATAGGTTTGAGTGTGTCTAATCAGTATAGGACTTCAATTTTTTTTTCACGGTTAAACTCATATGTTGGGTCATGCCTGTTATTGAAGGTAGTTGTCGACTCTAACTTCTCATCCATTGATCAAGCATTCAGCTTAACTGAACCTGGACTCTGATACTATGATAGAATTTGAGGTGGGCTTAACTCTTCACTCAATAAGACATTGTTGAATGGGAGGATTACCCCCTCTTATAAACCAGTAGGCTTGAGCATGCCTAGTCGAACTCATTTTATATATATAGAAAATTACCAATACATATATTCTGAAAATTTTAATATATAATTATTTCTGAATAGTCAAGTAGTTCGATAAAGACTCTTGGGCGTATTACTCAAGAAGTCTTGAGTTTGTATCCCTTTTTAGTTGCTAATAACGGTAAACACTAAAGCTCTTACTCGATTAGTAGTTATAAGATTTTGAGATATTAGTTGAGATACATATGAGCTGACTCGGACATCCTTAATTATAAAAATAATATATATATATATATATGAAATGTAAATACTCAATCGTAGACTTTTAATTCTAGAATATATGAAGTCAATAGTTAGATATTTACTTCGGTTGCCTTCAAGTTTAGGGTTTGTAAACCAACGATGACCGCTCATTTTTAATAATAAAAAGAAAATTAAAAGAGAAAGAAAAGGGTGGTTTGGAATTTGGATAGCATATCCTCAAAGGATATTTTTGATAGCAAATTTATATGATTATTATGATATGATTATGACATTAATAAAGAGGATCCAAACATTTATAGAATCATTTTCATGAAGCCATTATTGGGTTTGCTTTAGATTCAAAATTAGTAGAAGATTATGTCATATTTAATAATTCAAATCAGTCAAGAGATAAGCATTATTCCAAGTTTTTAATTAAATATTTTCTAATCAAGAAAAGGATTGAGAGTGAAAGATAAGGAAAAAAAAAAAAAAAAACAATTTATTGGACTATTTGTTGGAGTCAAAATGTAGAAAAATTGATTAGAAAAATAAACACTTTGAAAAAAGAAATGATGTTGAATTTAGAAAGAGAGAGGTATATGAAGTTGAGAGTTGACCACTTTTCTGTCTTATAAGAATTTCTTCTAAATAATTTGGCAAGACTTATTGGAATAGAGTTTATAGAGAAAGTGCTTATGAAAATATAACCCCTGTTCGTCACATTATTCCGAATTATTATTCTCTAATCCTATTTAGATTAAAAAATAAGATATGTGTTTGTTTACTTATTGAGATTATTATTTTAAAAATTAATCCAAATCAAATAATATTTTTCTGTCTAAAAATAAAAAGAGAAAGGACTTGTTTTTAGATTATTCAACTCTATTTAGTTGAAAACATTTTTCTATCTAACTCTATTCAACTCAAAACACTTTTTTCTTTCTCTCCTTCTCATTTTTCTCTCCTTCCAATGTGAAAATTAATCCACCCAAGACCATCACCGCTGGTCAATGTGGCCAGAACGGTGCATGACCGATCGGATTTGACCAGTCGTGCACCGATCTAGCTGTTTCTAGCTAGATCCACAGAGGATATGGCCAGAAACGGCCATATCGGCACACGAACTGCTAGATCTGTGCGATCGTGCACTATTCTAGCGACTGTCGGTTGCCATCCGACGGTGATGATCAGTGGCTGGCTGTTCTCTTGGATGGATAGGGTGCTTTTGTTAATTTTTAAACTATCATTGGGGGTGTTTAGCTAAATTAACACATGTGGGGGGTTAAAATAATAATAAATATTTTCATAAAAATGTACCAAACAACTATTGTCTTAAAAACCTCTTTAAAAAAAATGTACTTAACAACTATTCTAACATTTTAGCAAACTCTGATATAATTTTCAGATATTTTATCAAACACATTTTCAAAATCTGATCCTATTCGATTTAATCCAATTCAACTCAATTTAAAAAACTTTTTTAAAATAACATTTTTCAAATAATCTACCAAACAGGCCCTATAAGAGTCGTTTGGTTGGGTTTTTCCCCTTTCCAAAAGATTTTTTTAATCCTTTAAATACTTTCAAAAGTGTTTATATGATTGAATTTGAGCTTCTTTCATAAGCTCTTTTTGAGGTTATTAAAAATTTTGAAATTTCAAAAATATCCCTATTCAATCTTTTAAATTTCTCTTGATCTATTCTTGTATATTAAAACCCTTTTTGGTAAATTAATATTGGAAAGCTCTTTTACATTTTCTTAACAAAAAACGACTAACAAAATTTTCATAAAAGCTCTACTCTGATAAGCCCTTATTCCTTAAGCTCTTTTCACAGAAGTCGTACCAAACGGACTCTAAACACCCTGATAAAACTTCAAAAGTGCTTTTCTAATCCAATGAACAATTTTATCTATATTTTTAGTAATTATCTTTAATAAGTAAAACACAAAATGGGAAAATAAAAATAAATCAAGATGGAACAATAACACTGCTCCTTCGAATCATAATTCAAAGATAAAATTATAATTCAAAGGTTATGGGCTTCAAGCCCAATTCATGATTGCCATAAGTTTAGGCTTAACCCCACCCTGATTCAAGGCTTTTAGATAGAGTTGGCAATTTCCAGAGTTGGCCTAACCCGTTAAGATGTCGCCCCAACCCTGGATTTTTGAGAGCAGGGTTGGGGCGGGTATCACCTAGGGTGTTCAAAACCCGAACAGGTTTGGACATTTGCATACTCGACCCACCGGACCCGAATATTCAGGTCATGCTCTAAGGGTACCTAACAACCGAACCGGTTTTTAGAATAACAAATTTAACAATTACCCAAATTTCTTGAAGGAGAATGCAATACTCGTTAGGGGCGGACAAAATATCCGATTCGAAACGTGAACCTATCCGAAAACAAGTTGAAAAATGAGTCCAATATAAATCAGGTTAAAATGGATTCAAAACTTATGAACCTGCTATTCAGTCGAACACGGATCATACGATAAGACTCGAAGCTGATTCTTTAAAAAATTGGTCAATTTTCTATTAGGTGACATGAATATATAATTTGTATTTGAAACTGGGTAATAAAATATATTTTCAACGTTTTATGTGAACAAGTGTCACTAGAATAATGGGAAAAGTCATTTACTCGTGTGTAAATAATATAAAAACCAGGATAACACAGTCCTCGATTTAAACCATTAGATCAGGTTCCATCAGCGATTGAACAAATAGTTCGAACACGTTCTTTGATAAACTTTGAATTTCATTTCTGTAAAAATTTTAAGTCCACAAGAACAACATTTTCATGCTATAATTTGATTTGATTCGGACTTTGATTAATCCAACTACCAATAACCACCACCACCACCACCACTTAACTTACAAGACTTCACATTAGGAGGAGCAGCAAGTAAACGGAAAAATAAATAAAAGAACAGACAACTAGTAATTAACGAGTAATGTTAACTCCAAATAAGCAGTACTACAAGAGATTCTTCTTGTTTCACCGGTAGTTTCGATAGGCAGGGCTGTACATACAGCTTTCGGCATACTTCGCCAGATCCTTAGGTTGAGGGAGACGAGTAGCCAATCCTGTAAACCAATTGCAGAATGATAAGTACGGCGGTGATAAATGTCTTCGACATTGAGAAAATATAGTTGACAAGTTATGTAAGAAAAGGCGGCTCACCAAGTTCATAAGCTTTTGCGGCTACATTGGCAGCAATATGTGCTGAAATCTTTCGGATGTTTCTAAATGGTGGATATATGAGTCCCTTGTCAAAGTGCTCCTGAGTTACTTGCGAAGACAGGGCTTCAGCTGTACCAAGCCAAGAAACATGAAAATGCATATATGAGAACATATTCAACTGTGTAGAGAACATCTACGGTCAAAAGTTGCTAACTCATTTCACTCGGCAACTCATGGCGAACTCATAAATGTTCAAATCTCTATGCACTTACCAGCTGCCAGAAGCATGTCATCGTGAACACGGATGGCACCAGACATTATTAGACCCAGACCAAATCCAGGGAAAATGTATGCATTATTTGCCTGAATGACAAACGAAGAATAAACAAAATCAACCTCGGTTTCATATTAATCTATATAGGACACTTCATTAAATCCAAAGAGTTCAGACCTGGCCAGGCATGAAAACCTTGCCATCGTATTCAACGGGGTCAAATGGGCTTCCACTTGCAAATATCGCACGGCCCTGCAGAAAACAAAGTCGAGGATAAGCGAAGTTTCACACTAACATTTTTAGTCGATCACAAGCAATAGACAAAATATTTATCAGTGGGAGAAGAATCTGATAATTTGCATTACCTGACTCCAGGTGTAAGCTTCTTCTGCAGTACATTCAGATTGTGAAGTTGGATTGGAAAGAGCAAGAATAATGGGTTTCTGCATGCAGTTATACACAAGAAAATGGGTTAGTTTCTTCATCCGGAAGACGCTTGTTTTAATTAACAAGAGTACGATGACAGACAAGATACCTCATTCAAGGTCGTCATTGCCTCAACCACTTCTTTGGTAAATGTCTGTCCTTGTCCTGAAGTTCCAATCAGAATTGTTGGCTTGATTTGCTGACAAATACAAGAAAAAATGCAAAGACTTAGAAACTTTAACACAAGGGGCAGATGCTGTATGTGTAGTCATAAAATGAGATTGCGCACATTGATCACGTCTACGAGGCCCTTAACAGGCTCATGTTCATGTGCCCAGGGCTTTTTGAAATGTTGGAGAGATTCTAGGCGAGAACTGACAATCAATCCCTGCAACCAAAAGAAAAACACAGTCAAATTTTAATGCAGAAAAGCAAGAAAACAGATACAAGGAGGAATATACTTCGCATAGCAAAGAAATAGATCAGGGCTTTTCTACCTTCGAATCCACAAGCCAAACTTTCTTGCGAGCCTCTTCAACTGGCATATTTGTCTGCAGAAAGAATCAAGTATTATATTTAAAAGCTGTTAAAGATTCTTTTCTACATCTGCTTGTCCACAGTACATCTCCAAAATGAAGCATAAAGATTTATGCTAATAGACAGTAATAACCTGTTTTGATATCTCAAGGGCTATGAGTTCTGCAATTCCAGTGCCAGCCTGTTTATCAAACAATGAAAGTGAAATGCGAAAATAAGTGACAGTTGTGTATACAATAAGGGGGGAGAGAGAGAGAGAGAGAGAGAGAGAGAGAGAGAGAGGAATAGACATTAGCAAGAGAAGCTGTCCAGGAGGTATAATGATTAATATACATAAAGTATTGAATGATAGCATATATTGCATATTCAATTTTAATGCAAGACAATTTTATTCTTTGCCTCCTACTTACTACTCGTTAACTTAGCAAACTCTGACATTAATTTAGATTTTCCTCCTCTATTGTGTGTTGAAAAACTAGTCAGAAAGCAGAATGAGGACTTCCAAAACAAAAAAATTATGAACTCACCTCCCCCGCACCAAGGAACAAGAACTTTTGGTCAGCTAAGCTTCCTCCAGAAAATTTCATTGCTGAAATAAGTCCTGAAAGGACCACAGATGCTGTCCCCTGAAATATAGTTATCAACCAAATTTCAGCAATAAGCTTAACAATAATAAAAAGTATCACAAATTCCCAACAAAAATTACCTGAATATCGTCGTTGAATACAAGATGAGTTGTGCCATATTTTTCAAGAAGATCAAAAGCATTGTGGTTTGCAAAGTCTTCAAACTGCCAAATCCGGTAAACAGGTTTAGAGAACATTGAGACTACAAATATAATCATAAAACCTGCAATCCAGACTACTTCATTAAGGCCTTAGTCATCACCAACTACCTGAATAAGGATTTTCTCCCCATAGTTCTGCTTGACTGCTGTCATGAATTCATGTAGGAGTTCAGCATATTCCTAGAGCAAGGAAAAGAAAGCCAGTTAAACATAATAGAATAAGACAGCTTCCTAAATGAACTCAAATGCATAATAGAAGGGCAGTGCCAGAAAAATCAAGAACCTGTCCAGTAGCTCTCTTTTGTCTGAGCCCAATGTAGAACTCATCGTTCAACAAATTCTCATTGTTAGTCCCGACATCAATGGTTATAGGTAAGCACTGAAAAATTCACAACAATTGACTTAGTTATAACATTAAGGAAAATTTGAAGCAACCTACTGGATTACTAAAACACCATTAGCTTATCATACAAGAATGATGAAAGCACCCCATAATGTCTTATAAAGACATTTTAGCGGAGCAGTAAAAGATATTGCTACACAAAGAAACAAATCACAGTAGTTGACTTAATCATGTCAAAAAGCCAATAATGTTGATCATGTTCACTTACAGCGGAAGGACGAACTCCTCCAAGAGCAGTATATAAAGAAAGTTTGCCCACTGGTATTCCCATCCCCTGAGAAAACGAATGGTCATTGCGTCAAGTTACAAAGGAGAGTACTGAGAGAGAGAAAAAAGGCAGTGCATGTGTTGGAGATCCATATAGTGATCGGATCTCACAATTCGATGGCAAATATAAATAGATATCATCAACGACAGTCCTAATAAGCAACTTCAGGTAGAGCATACCTGACAGCCAAGATCCCCTAGCCCCAAAATCCGCTCTCCGTCAGTGACAACAATGACTTGGATATTCTTCTCGGGCCAATTCCTCAACACTTCAAGAACCTTCCCTCTTCAAATAAAGTACTTATCAATATAAACACAAACAGTAAACAAATATTAAATTAAAAAATTCAACCATCAGTAACACAAGGAACCAAAAACTTACTTATCATTCAAACTGATAAAAAGACCCTGAGGACGGCCATAGATGCTTCCATATTTTTGGCAAGCTTCACCAACAGTGGGAGTGTAGACAACTGGAAGTAACTCCTCAACGTTTTCAATGAGAAGCTTGTAGAACAGCCGTTGATTTCTCTCCTGTGAAACAGATGGAAATAAATAGAATGAAATAATCAGTTCGCCTTCCGGACATCAAGGGGCACAAGGAATTTCAGAAATATATCATTGAAGTGAACTCACAGTTGAACATGTAAATGCATTAGCAAATAGGTATAAAAGCAATGCATGTTAGAGAAGGAAACAATCATTAGAAGTCAAATTTGGGAAGTATTTCTAAAATTGTGATGATACTCAGTTAAACTTTAAAATTGAAATAGTTGGTTGTGTTCAACATATGATTTTCAGTTTATGAGAATAAATTGTCGGTATGTTACCTGAAGATCCATCATGGCCATGTACTTTTGCAGGGGAATTTGGTACTGGCGAATATTGTGCATCATCTTCTTCACCTGGAGAGTTGATTAGCAAGATGTTTGTTAAATATCTAATGAATCTGGCAAACCAAAGGAAAAAAAAAAAAGACAAAAGGGACCAAAAAAGAGGAAAGAAAACAAGAAAGGGTTTAAATGCTAGGTAGATAACCTGGAGGTCTTGTGAAACAACTGTAGGGGGGAGAAGACCACGCAAGTAATGTGAATTTCTCTCTTTGAAGGTGAAGGCAAGCCCTTTGTTGTGATGAGGATCTCTCAACAAAGAATACCCACTGAAGCATAAAAAATGTATTAATACGAATGAACGACAAAATTATAAACCATTCTTTATTGGCAAAAGAAAACAACACCATTCTTATAAATCTATGTATCCAAATGTAGTGCATTACACAGATGTTAAAAACAGTGATCTTAAAGGTCACAAAAAATAAAAGACTAGTAATGAACCATGGATATCCAAGTTATATGTGCCTTGGGGTGTTAACCGAGGAAGGTCTACATAAGGTGTATATAGGTTCACAAAACCAAACATTAAATTTCATAATCTTGTCATACTCATCAAATTAGATTCATGAAATTTAGGTATTAGAAATGAATTTGATTCGACAGTTGAATTCATAACAAACAATGCCTAGGGAAAGTTGTCCAGTGGTCTAAATTAAGAATGTTTAACTCGTGATCGAGCACATGCAAAGAAAGCCCCACAACAACAACAAAAAAAAAAAATCATCATGAGAATAGATATTGTATTGGAGAAAACCAAGCAAAATGTAAAATAAATTAATGGTCTAGAAAAAAACTTTTACAACTCTTAATGCTACAATACATCCATATACAAAAAGTCAGGAAGATGAATTATGCCATACACTTATATGTGGTGTCACATTTACAATTGTTTTAGGACTCAAAAGACATATTCAAATTGAATCATAAATCATAATAAATTAATCTCATTTGGTAGTAACTAGAGTACACTAAAACAAGAGTGCAACGACAAACTTCAGTCTACAAATACAAACTAAAAAGAAATGATGTGACGACCCACACGGTCCATTACTCGCACAAAAACTTTCAATCCAAAATTAGCAAACAAATACACTTTATTTATTTATTTATATTATCTTTTTTAAATCCTAAACATAAAGTAACATCAAATTATATTAATATAAATGATTTGATAAGTACCTGGCAACAGAGAGAGCCCAAGGGGTGACAGGCTGGTCTTCAGTGGCGGTATCCTCACCGTAGACATCCTGAGCGCCGCCGCTCACGTCCGTCTTGGAATCCACAACTTCAGCATAGCTGTCTCTATCTGTGAAGGTTGGTGAGCTATTGGTCTCCATAACAAGGCTACCGTTCTCCCTCTTAGAAACGCTAAAAGTCACCACTTTTGTTGGCAATCTTCTGCTTCTTTGATCAGTAGTACGCAAAGGGCTTGATAAGCCCTTGTTATTCTGTTCAATAACAACAAAGAAAGAAACAAAATTTAAGCATAAACAAGATCAACAGTTTAGAAAATGTGATCTTTTTACTGACAATGAACTTAAGCAAGAGAGCTCAGATGTGGAATCGTTTAAACTTAAAAGCTTTCATATGATTTATCAATTTTTCGAGCTGAAAAAAGAGGGCCCAGAAACGGAAATCAAGCAAATTCTGCGAAAACTTGAAAATTTGCCGGGTTTAAAAAGCTTATAAGATCAAACCCGCATACGATCAATGATTTTCAATCAAAAAATAGAAAATTTTGTACACTTTTGAATCTGAAACAGTTAAAAAAAAAAAAAAGCTAAAAATCACCCAAAAAAAGAATAAAAATAAAATCAGGTGACTCCGATATGATAAATAGCACCAAAAACAATTATCAATAAATGAAATGAGGTAAAACCAAAATACCCAGAAATGAAAATAAACGAAAGGAGTACTTCTGATGCGAGGAAAAAAAAACGATTTTGATGAGTGAATTTAAGGCTATACTTGATTTGTATCAATCACAAAACGTCAATGATCTTGAAGTAAGAATAAAACAGAGAAATGGGGTTAGATTTATATTACCAGAAAAGCGCTTCGGTTCAACGAAAACATGGCGAGGCAGAGGGGAGAGAAAATGTGAGATACGAAGAGAGAGTCTTGCGGTACAACAAGTTTTTTGACACCAAACAAAAATAAAAACAAAAAACAAAAAATAAATAAGGGAGAGAAAATTGAGCAGAGAGAAGAGAAGAGAGAGTCTTAAGGATGTTTTATATATAGAGAGCGAGCTTGAGCTTTAAAGGTTTTAGCTTTAGCTCTGAGTTTTGCTCTCTCTCTCTTTCTGGGTTGAGTCTCTCTCCTCTTCTTTCTTCTTCTTCTTCTTCGTCGTCGCTTCCGATTTTACGAACTCATTCACACGCACACAGAAACGAAGAAAGAGAAGAAATAGCAACGAAGTAGCTGAAAAACGTGCCTGTTTCTCTTTCCATTCTCTGGAAAATTACATTTGGTACCCATTTTGTCATCTGTCTCACCAAATACACCTAGAATTTCTTCTTTGTTTATTTTATTAATTACAATAGAAGATGAAAAATCTTAAGTGAAACAGAAGTGTCCAATTATGTTATATCTACAATATGTTTATGAGAAAATGATATCGACTCATTTGACTTGTATTTCGAATATTGTTTTAGAAATATAGTTCAAATATTTGATACGTATTTTAGTATTTAATAATATATAAATATCTGTTTGGATTATGACGATGGAATGTTATACTGGTCACCTATAAAGATTAGTCGAGGTGTATATAAGTTGACTCGAATATCCTGTCTCAAATTAAAATCTAAGGGTTCTTAAAAAGATAATTAATGATTATCTTGCTTTAAAATACATAATTTTTCGATTAAAATTAGAAAATACATAATTAATTATGCGTATTTTAGTATTTAATATTATATAAATATATGTTTGGATTATGACGGTGGGATTTTATACTAATCACTTATAAAGATTAGTTAAGGTGTTACAAGTTGACTCGAATATCCTGTTTCAAAAAAAAAAAAATATATATATATATATATATATATATACACACTATGTTTATGTGAAAATGATATAGACTCATTTGACGTGTATTTTGGAAATTGTTTTAGAAATATAGTTCAAATATTTGATGCACATTTTAGTATTTAATAATATATAAATATATATTTTGATTATGATGGTGGGATATTATACCAGTTACCTATAAAGATTACTCGATGTACATATAAGTTAACTGGAATATCCTATATATATGTTTGATATAATTAAATTAAAATCTAAGGGTTTAGTTGTCAGTTTCTAAAACCACAGGGGAGGTTTAAAATTACCCCATTTAATTAAATATTTAAATCACGATTCAGAGAACTCAAATCTGGGCTTAAAAATAGGGCGAAACACACGAGGAAGATTGAAAATTATTCCTCAAAAAAGCAAACCCGAATTATTTACCACAACATTAATTAATATTCCTTTTAATATTTATTTATTTATTTTTGGCTAATTAAGTGGTCCTTACTGTGTGGTCTTGATATTCAGTGGGGGTCCTTAATCACGTGTCATGATCAACCGTCGGATCATCATCACATTCTGCCGGACCCACTTCTTTTTTAATTTTTGTGATTCATGTGGCTGTGATCTTTGGTCTCAAAAAATTTGCCAACTGGGATTTGGATAGTGACAAGGATGTTATTAGGAATCCAAGGATAAGAGCATTAATATTTGCTCTTAGAGATGGTGAAATGTGCCCTTATAAAAGGAGGAGGACCTTAATTTGATGGAGAATTGAGGAGGAAAAAGATACCAATTGGCAAAATTCTTTGTAACACTATGGCATTGGTGATAATGTTATTGAACGTCACTATTAACATAGACTATTTTGCCCACGAGCTCAAGGATTTCTGGTCCTAATAGATTGACGATAATGAAAACTTGTTGGTCCGTGAATTCAACCCATTATCAACCCTACTCTAGGGTTGTCTATTTTTGGTTATAGGTTCGAGAACCTTCATCTCCTAATCCCCTTAAGATATTGCCTCAACCTTGGATTTTTGGGAGCGGGACCAAGGCTGGGTATCCCCGATTGAGGAACGTAATATCAACCTCTATTCTCATACTTGAAATCCCTATATTTATTTTTTTATTTAATTTTTAAATAATATATTAATTATTTTGTTTTTATCGAGGACAAGGATGAGCTTCACCATTTTTCGCCTTTCCCCACCTAGCTCTCAATCCCAAACTGTTTTCAAGGTTTTTTTTATGGGATTGGATTTTTCTATGCTCCTAAGTCGTAACCCTGTCGTATTTTTTTTTATAGGAAGGAACCCCAAGGGATTGGTCTAACGGTCTAGAAGGTTTGCTCTTTTTATTGATTTTCTGGGTTTAAACCATCTTAGTGAGCCAATTACCATATTTGTGACATACCTTGTAAGATATTTAATGGATCTCGGAGATTAGTTGATAGGAAGTAGTAAGAATCGTAGGAATTTTTATTTTATTTTTATTTTTTGTGAATTGCTTGGCTAAGTGTGTGATGTGTTGTGATTAGAGTTGACAGAGATTTGCATCATGGTTTGTCTTCTTTGTATAGTTTTACATAAAACTCTCCATCATCGGATTTTCACGGCTGTTATGAAGATGTCATGGTTGGTTGGGCCCCAAATGAAATTGAAATCGGAGAGAATGACAAGAAATTTTCTATGTATCCAACATAGTTGGAACTCTTTCACCTTCGTTTATGACAAGGGTTCTCATTTTTCTTGGGCTAAACGACAATCGTTTTTCTACGTTTTTTAATTAAATATATTTTAATTCCAATCGCACCACAAATATTATAAAGAATAACATAAAATTCTTAGTTATAATTTAATGAAAAATCTAATAAATTTGAGAGAAAAATCGTTCTTATAAAGGATTCTAACCGGGATTTTTAGCAAAATGAAACAAGAGATATAAATAATTTTAAAACAAAGAAGGTTCGTTAAGTTTATACAGGGTAAAAGTAAGAAATATTAGCATCAGTCATGAGTGCAATAATAGTTGACCCTCTTTGTGAGACATGTCTTATTTTACGAAAATCAATACGTAAAGAATGGAAACATGAAAGTATTTTCAATGGATTTAGAACATTTGTTCTTAATGAGTACCTTGTGTGAAGCTAATTTTCTTGTAATTGGATGATAGGTCAATTTAGCTATAACTAAGGGAGTTTTGTGTTCGAGTCAGATGAAAGGTAATTATTACGTTTATGTAATTACCTTGATCAGTTACCCTTGTAGGGTGTTTTATGACCCTGAAGATTAGGCAGACTCTAATATAAGTCTAGATACCTTAATTATCTTGGTTTATTGGTCTTGTAAGATATTTCGTGGCCTTAAGGATTAAACAGGCTCTAATGTGGGTCTAGATACCTTAATTATGTTAAGATCTCACATCGGGATCTCACACACACCAACTGTGGTATTTAAGCTTACAAACTCTCCCACCTATTAGGCCGGTCTTTTAGGGTATGCTCTCCCTTGGGCTTGAGTTCTAACATCGGTGCTTTCCTTGAGAGTTGGGTTGTGGAAATGGTTTCTTATATGCTAGATTAAGGTGTAGTGTGCTCTCTTTGGGAAGGGGTGCTACATCAAATAACTGATAGGTGAGTGAAGTCGCCCAGATGGAAAAGGGTTACAGTTGATAGAGTGAAAACCACCTTGGATGTCGACTCTTTGGGGGAGAAGGTAATGTTAGGATCTTATATTGGGATCACATATACATCAAATGTGATACTTAAGCTTAAAGACTCTCCCATTTATCAGGCTGATATTTAGATTAAGCTTTCTCTTAGGTTTGAGTTTTAATAAATTATCTTGATTTATTTGACTTATAAGATGTTTTATGACGGTAAAAGGTAGACATACTCTGACGTGTCTTGATACCTTCAAAAGGGCAAAACAGAGAAAAAAAAAAAAAAAGGGGGCAGGTTTATTCTATTACGGTGGTGATTAATAGTGCATATGATGGTTGTACCTAATGGTTGAGAAGTTGCACATTGCATTTAGTAATAAATCCAACCTCACACTCATGACTCAACCAGCCAACCGCCTCAACCTCGAACACTACAGCCCTGACATGCCTCTCTCACTTTTCTAAGTTTGTGATTCACATTTCACTAATTTCCATGGTTTTCTCCTTGTTCACATTTTTTTATTTAAAATATTAAAATAAGGACAAATTCCTTCGACTCATTGTTTCCAACCTCGCAAACATATGTACACGTTATCAAAATATAAATAACAAGAATAATATCATGCTTACAAATACTTTTTATTAATTTTCTCTTATAAATATGACATGATAATTTACAGTAGTTCTCATTTAATCAATTACAAATTATCACTTCACATATGTGAGAAAAAATTAATAAGAATGATTTATCGACTTATCTTTATTAAAACAAGAAAAACAAATCTCATAATGTATATTAGATATAGGATATTTATATCAGTTAAGTTTATAATTTTTACAGTAATAAAAAATATAAAAGATATATAGATTGATGATATTAAACGTTTTATTGAATCAATATTACGATGTTATTAATCTTTAATTTCTGTATACCGTTATTTTATTAAGTGATTTTAGTCACGTTTTATATTTTCAAAGGGCATTCTAAAGAGGTGATGTTTGTTGGAATTTAGGCATATCAAACAAATGATGATGAAAACAACAATTTTCTTATAATTAAATTATTATTGGAAGTATCAAAGAAGTTGCCTGGGGTAGGTGGCATGCCGAAACCGTGTGGGAAATAACAAAGGTTGTTCAAAATAGATTTAATCGTTAGCCCAATTAATTAAGTCTCTAAATCTAGCTATTTACTAGTTGTTTAGCAACATTTATCTTATGTGTCACTTCAATGTCCTGTCTTTTCTTCATCAAAGTGTAATAATATAAACATATAAAATTGAGCCATGTGTTATTCCTAAGTTATTGGTAGCTATTATTTATTAATATTTTAGGAATATTTAAAGAGTAAATACTTTTTCTCACCAAAGGCTTGCCTTTATGACTTTTCCAACTCGAAAGGTTTCAAAATACCAATTAGTACTTAGAGTTTATATTATGACAATTGACAGCCGATTCCACCAAAACCCCTTAAACCTTGCGTTTGTCGACCATGCCAAATGCCAACAATTGATCTATTTGTAAAATGCGTAGCTGCCCCTCTCAAGTAAGATTTTGACCAATCTCGACCATCAAAATCCATCTACCACCAAAAGACTCACTAACGTTGCTTCTTCAAAAGTTCCAATATCCTAGACTGAGTTTACTCTCTATTAGCCGCCGAATCAGAAAGTGTATTCTGGGTAGTAAACAAAATATAAA